CGGCTCCTGCTGGGGTCACACAAAGAGCGGCACCCCTGAGCACACAGGTGCTGCTTCTTGCCTGGTGAGGACACCACGGCGGGTGGCACCAGCTGGGTCACGTAGGCTGCTCTACTGCCACCGGGTGCTGCAGGGATGGGGGTCACAACAGCCCCATGCAGGGGAGCCTCCCGCACCCTCTCTTGCTGCAGAGCACCCCTGGCAGCCACGACTGGGGCAGGGCCTTGGTGCCCAGACTGGGCAGCAACTTGGGGCTCTCATCCTCTACGTACAGGTATAAGCCAGGGTTTCCCATCCTAGCAGAGCGACTGCGGGTGTGAGGAGGGGGCAGGGGCGAGTGCTGGATCTGTCACCAGGGGCACCGATCACCTCCAGCAGAGAGAAGTCGTCGTCGTCATCATTGTCATTTTGGCAGTGCATGGGGAGGGAGCGCTGCACCGAGCTGAGCTCACCTTGCCAGGCCCAGCGCAGGTCCTGGCGCAGCCGCTCCCCAGGCCTCTCGCAGACTGGCATCAGTTCCTGGCAGCGATGACAACCGACAAGGCCACACCACCCAGCGCCACGGCTGTCGCGCCAAAGAGCCACTTCCAGGGAATCGACTGGAGGGGAATGAAAGTGCCGATGAGCATGGCCAGACATGGAGCCCTCCTCAGCACACCCTGGCCCAGCACAGAGGCCTGCTCCAGGAGGTGGGGCGCATGAGGGGCCGGTCCCAGGCTGCTCTTGGGACTAGCAACCCCACTCCCAAGCTGCGGCCGAGACAGCATGGCCAGAACTCCTCTGCCTGCCCAATGGAGGATCCCAGCACAGGCAACCACTCCGATCAGAGGCCTGATCTCTCCAGCTGGCACTGCCACCAGAAGCAAAGCAGCAGCTCTGCTTTTCCCCGCTGAGGCAGGAGCACTCAGGCAGGCACAAGAAGAGGATGTCCACATGCACCTGGACACTGCACCCCGGGCACAAAGGAGTGGGACCGCGGTGAGCTACCACCCGCCAGACCATGGAGGAGATGCCACGTGTCCTCCCCTCCCCGTGTCCGCACACCCCTGCCACTCACCCAGGATGACTTGTCTTTGCATTTAACAGGGGTGCTGCCAGGGCTGGGATTTCCCAGCATCTTTCTGTACATCTCCGTCTCCACGGTCTTCTGGTCCGCGTGCTTCTTCACCAGCTTGGAGAGCTCTGCATGGATTGTCTGGGAACAAGAGCGTGCACACAACTGGAATGACCAGTCCCCTCTCCCTGGCCCAGCCCGTCTCCAAACAGAGAGGAGCTCCCGGCAGAGCAGAGCTCGCTGCCTGCCGGGCTGGGGACTGCCCGGGCCACCCTGGGTTTTGTGAGTGCTGCATGATGCAGCTCCGACACGCTCACTACTGCTCATCGCTGGGGCAGGAGATGGCAGGGACAGAGCCCATTTGCCCCTGCCGGCCAGGCCGCCTCCAGCAGGGATCACACCAGTCCCAGTCCCGGCCTGCCTGGATTCCTCCTCCAGCACCTCGACCCTATCCCAGGCCAGCCTGCATCTGCGAGAACTCGCCAGACCCCTCCAACCCCGGGTCCCTCTGAGCACCCAGGAAGCAGCTGCGTGTCCTGCCTGGCTGGGGCTGCCGGCCAGGGCACGGCCTTCCAGAGCACAAGGGACTTCAGCAGGGCCGGCATCTCCTCTCCAGCGAGGGCAGGACGCGCTCCAAGGACGTGCTGGGCAGCACAGGCCCTGCAGCTTCCAGCCTCTCCCAGGGTGGAGCCGCAGTCGGCACGGCACACCTTACGCCACGAGACCGAAGTCACGCCTGGGCCTGAGCTCCTGGCAGCCGGCTCCGTAGGTGCTCGGCCCGACCGACGAGCAGAGCCTCGCTCTCCTGCCTGACAGCCCGAGGTTTGCCTCTCTGCACCGAGGCCCAGGCTGGGTTTGATCCCCTTCCCTCCACTGCCATTCACGTGCTGCCAGCGGGCACGATAGGCCTCCCGTGCCCCAAAGCACAGAGCAGCTCTGAACAGGGTTTGACCGAGCTCAGATTCTCGCCTTTCCAAGCACGACAGGAAGGGCCTGACCTCGGGAGACCACGCTTGGCAAGATCCAGCTCACAGGAAGCGGAGCCCGGCAGCAACCTCGCCACTCAGAGAGGGCTCCTCTGGGGGGTGGTAAGACTAGTAAGAAGTTCTTGTCCGTGCAGCACAGAGCAGGCAGACCTGGAAGCCAGTGCGAAGCTGGACTCCAGCAGGACCTCTCAGCCCTGCCGCACTCCCCAGCACCTTCTGCGCTTGCCTAGCAGCTGTGGTCGCTCACCAGGGCCCAAGAACACAGACCGAGATCTGCTCCCCCAGAACAGGTCACTGCGCGCCCAGAAGCAAACGTAAAAGCCGCCAGGCTCCCCGAGGGGCAGGCCAGCCCCGGCACAGCTGGGAACGTCACTCCGGGTGCCAGTCGCACCCAGCTCTTGCACCAGCACGCCCCGTGAAGGACCCCGTGCTGCAAGAAGTCCCCCCTCAGCCCTGCCCTCGAGGCCGTGGCATCTGGCACGCACCCCACCGGGCTCCGGGCCAGGGCCCCAGATCCTTCCCAGCAGCCGCTCTCTGGTTCCCAGAGCCCACGTCAGAGCAGGCGCAGGCCCGGAGGAGCCCGAGCGGAAAGGACACGAGCGTCCTGGCAGGCGTCCCGATCCTTGGCCCCGGCCCCCGGCTCCGGCGGTGGCGCGGCGCCATCTGCTGGGGGCCGGGCTGCTCCGGGCAGGCGCACTGGCTGCTGCGAGGCTCGGCGGCTCGCAGGTAAAGGTGCCTCCGCTCCCCCCAGAAACGGCGGGTGCAGCGGGGCGGACCCTGGCCGCCCTTCCCGTTCCTTCACTGTGCACCATGGCAGACCTTCCCCCCCTTCCTGCCAGATTTCCTCTTTCAGGGCCTGGGAAGAGAAGGGGGGGTTCACTTTCGGGGTCTCACAGAGGGGCAGGAAAGGGGCTTCTCTTCAAACGGAAGTTTTCACTTTTGTTTCACGGGAATAGATTTTGGTTCTGGGGGAATGCACATAAGCCGGCTGCTCCGGTGAGAAGGGGGAGCCAATTGAGCCACGTTGTGGGGCGCATCATGGGGGCAGCCTGGAAGGGGACAAGCCAGGGCAGGCCAGTCCGGGGAGCTCTGCTTCCACCAGGCCCATTCGGCTAAAAGCAGCCCTGATGCCCAATGGCTTTGTGCGAGCTGCAGGCCCGCGGCCAGAGCAGCCTCTGTCCATGCAGGGGCCGCGAGGCACCGGCATCCCGCCCAGCTTGCGCAGGACCGGAGTCTGAGCGTCAGCATTATTTACTTGTTTTGCAACAGGCAGCAGGTTCCCGACCGGCAGCCCCGGGAGCCAAAGTCTGCTCTGGGCCAGAAGGGCGAAGCTACGTGAGTAGATTGCTGTTTTCCACCAGCTGTAATCTCGTACACGACCAAATCATGAACTCTGTCACCGCGCCTGCCAGATCATTGCAGCTGCTTCCCTGGCAGCCTCGCAGCCAGCACTTTGCTCTGCTTGTTCTACTGGTCGTGGCAACGTCCTACATTTGGGTCATTTCCTTTCCAAGCACATTAAAAGGGACGAGATCCCTGAGCAGTCCCTGCTCACATGCACCGTGCGGGGAGCGCTGGCAGCCCAGCTTCCACCACTGCTCACATCCCATGTGCTCAGCTGCTGGTTTCCCCCTCCAACCAGCACAACTGCTCTTTCATCTCATCTCTCCTACATAAAGACGAGCTCCTGAGCTGGCTAACGTGAGCTAAAACCCCAGGAAGACGAGACCACGCGTTGCTTGGTCTGAGCCAGCGGCTCAAGACAGAGGACCTGGCACACTAACTCGCGTTACCAACATGCCTGCTCCTGAGCCTGGCACATGCCACAACAGTGCATGCTCCACAGGGAAGGGGCTGCTCACCCACCATGTGTGTTCAGCACCGGGTGTGGCAGGGCCCCATCCTGATTTTGGCCTTCAGGTACTATGGGAAGGTGGAGTCAGGAATAGGCTGCAGTGAAATGCCAATAAATAAAGCAATGGAAACTCCCACAGAGGAGAGGAGCCCATGCCCAGAGCAACGCACAGCTCTGACCCACGTGTGTCTGGATGTGTGCGTGCCATGGCTGGTTCCTGCCGTGGCCCAGGACACTGGGGGACCTGGCGGAAGCTGCAGGGGCTCGGACCACAAGCGTAGGGTGATTTTTCACAAAGTCCAGAGCTGGCAGAGAGCCCTGCGGGGAGCAGCGAAGGAGGGAAGAGGAGTCTCAGGACTGCAGCGAGGAGACCCAGGAGGACGGCTCACTAACCCCAGGCAGTGCTGGCTTGGCGCTGACCCCCAGAGAGCCCCACGTGCAGAGCTCCACAGCACCCCGAGGCAGGAAGGGTGCACTGGGGAGCTAACAAGCAAGAACGAGGAGCCCCCAGCGAGCAGGTACACGGGTCTCGCAGGAGCAGAGCCGCGACGCCCTGCACGAGCCTTGAGGCTCCTGGCAGCAACAGCCCCGGGGGCAGATCCCGGCAGCGTCTCATTCCCAGCCCTGCTATGGCCACGCAGCCCAGCCTCAGTTGGCAACAGGACAGACACCCACCTTGTTGGATGGCTCCAGCTTCAGCGCTGCCTTCAGGATGGGGATGGCCTGGCTGTACTCGCCCTGCTGTGCCAGGACCTGGGGAAGGAGGCACAGTTCACAGAGGAGCTCTGAGCTGCCCCTAGCCCTACCACACACGGCTGCACCCGGGGTACTGGCACTGAAGGCCCAGGCAGGAGGGAAGCAGCCTGCCGAGACCCTGAGAGCACCCTGCCCCAACCCACCCTCACCTTTCCCTTTCGGAAAAGTGCCTTGATGTTCTCCGGCTGGTGCTCCAGGACCAAGTTGCAAGATTTCAGAGCGGCCTCGTAATGGTCCAACTTGAGCTGAGAGGCTGCCAGGTTGTTGAGGCATTTCACCTTCACCTCCAGCAACTCGGCCTCCTCCTCAGGGCTGAAGTCGACTGCAAAGAGTATGGAGCCCAGTTACACTCGGGCAGAGGCACTGGTTGCAGAGAGTACAGCTGCTTCCCAGCATGGCTTGAGCACCAGGGGGACCGGTCACCACCGGGCAGCCTGCTTCGTACACCACGGCAGAGCCCATCTGCACCCAGCAAGGACTGCACGGGTTTCCTTGGGGAGCTGCTGGGAGGCTGCCGAGTGAGGCTTCTCAGGCTGCTCTCCACCTGCACCAGGCCAGGCAGAGGACAAACTTCACATCAGTACGAGGTGGCCACAGGGACCAGGACGCAGAGACAGGCAGTGACACCCGCGAGCTGGGGAGGAACTCCTGGGCTTTAGAGGGACTGGAAAGAAGGGAGAGCATGATGCAGGGGGAGGCAAAGACCCTAGCACGAGACTGCCCTGAGAAGAAGATGCCTCAGCAGCATGCCTCGCCGTGTCTGTAGCTAGAGGGCCAGAGCGCTGGAGCCTGGAAACAGGCTGGGGACGGTGCAGGCAGAACTCACTCGGGCCACAGCTGAGCCCACCCCCACCAAGCAAAGCCCCCTAGCAAGCCTCTGCCGTCCCCACCAAGGTGGGAGGCAGTGAGCCGGAGCAGGCAGGCACCTTTGGAGCTGGAGCCGATGACCCTGAGGGCGATGTCATAGGAGTTAATGGCCAGCACGTAGTCAGCCTGCTGGTAGTAGAAGTTCCCGCGCTCCCGCTTGCGGTTGGCCAGGTCGATCTTGGCCTTCCCGCTGAGCAGCTCCAGGTCGGGGGCGTCCTGCACGGCCAGCAGCTCCACCTCCAGAGTGAGGGCGGCGTTGGGCGGGATGCCAGGGCTCCTGCACAGAGGGAAGGGACACGCTGACGCCTCTCGTGCAACGCGGGGCAGGCCCATTCGGCAGCTCAGTCTCAAGCACAGCCGCCCTCCGCTTGGTATCGCTTGCGTGCACCTGCCCACGCACGAGCCACGTGGCATTAGCGCCACTGCACAGCTCTGGAGACCGGTGCCTCTGGACACACGATGGAACCAGGAGCACGGCAGGCAGGCCTCCCTCAGCTCTGCTGCACTGCCGGCCTGCAGAAACCTCACCCCGCAAAGGTGAGGCAGTGCCGGGCCCGTGACACACTCACACCTGGGCCAGCTGCCAGGGGGGCTAATCGGGACAGACCAAGACCAGCCGCTCGCTCCACAGGCCCCTGGGGAGATCCCTCCTCGCAGCAGCTATGCAGGTATCCAGGGCCACACCTGGCCCCGCCACCCCGAGGCCCCCACAGGGACGAAGGGCCCACCCAGCCCCTGTGCTCACCTGCCCTGGGGGCCGTAGCAGTACTTTGCATCAGACGTGATCGAGGCCGTCTCTCCCATCTCCAAAAGCTGCGTGCACAGGTCTAGTGCCTGCAGGAGCCGAGAGGGGAGAGGTTAGGGGGGCACTGCCCCGTCAGGAGCAGAAGGCCCCAGGGGGAAGCCATGGTGGGGGTGGGAAGGCTGAGCAGCAGCAGGGTCCAAGACATGCTCAGGGTCCAGCTCCCAGCCTGCAGGGACAGCCAACAAATGAGGGACCCCACAGCCCAGCACAGGGCACGACGGTGATGGGAGCGTGAGCCCTCACGTCCCTTCATCAGCAGCCCTTCTCTTAGCAGGAGCAGCGTAGGGCAAGGGGCGCTGCGGGGCAGGAAGCACCAGGCATTGGGGCAGCGGGCGACTAGACTAGACATGGCAGCGGATGGGCTCCAGTGTTCCCATGGCAGCAAACCAGGCGGTGGGAGCCACCGACACCTGGGCCAGGCCCTGCCCGGCAGACCCCTCTCTGCGCCGTCCCCAGGCTCCGCGCAGGGCGCCGCGCTCACCTGCAGGACGTCGCAGTCTCCCAGGGTGAAGGTGAGGCCAGGGTCCTCCTCCACCACGCTGCCGTCCTCCAGCATCACCCTGAGCCGCACAGTCACGTCCTGGCCTTTGCGCGGCCGGCTCTCCGCGCCCTGGCCGGGCACCAGGGTCTTCTTCTTGAGCAGGCCATTCCCTGGGCACAGAGGGGAGGCAGGAGGGGGTGAGGGAGATGCCCGTGCCACTCACCTGCCCTCACCTGATCCCCGCACATTCACGCCCTCACCCGGGAGCGAGCCCCACACTACAAGGCACTCACCCAAGACGTCCAGCCACACCTCAGCTGCCGGTGGCTCCTCGCCCACCCCCTCCCCAGCAGGCTCTGGCCCCGAAGCCTGGACGCCCTCCTTGCCGGGTGGCGCCTTCCCTTTCCCGACATCTTCCAAAGGGGGGAGTTCACTCAGGTCCTCCTCGTCGTCGTCATCTAGCACCTCAAAGTCCTCCCTGCTGTCCAGCATGGAGGCGCTGGCCTTGGCCTGGTCGGGGGAGCAGCGGTCCAGGCTGGGGTCCACCCAGTCCAGGGGGCTGCTGGCCGGCTCCTCCCCTCCGGAAGCCATGGCTGCACGGCGCGAGCGACCTGGGGAGGCAGGAGGAGAGGACTGGGTTAGGCCGGAGCTGCAGCTCGAGGACGGAGAGGTACGGGAGGGGAAGAACTTGGAGTTCGGAGCCAGGTGCTCGGCAGGGAAACAACCCCTGCCTGCAGCAAAGGCACGCAGCTCTCAGCCCGCCGGGCTGCCTCTCAGTCTGCAGCGCGGACCGGAGCAGCGGGGGCCCGTGATTGCAACACGAGCGACTGGGAGGTTGCAAGCAACTCCACCAAGCGCTGGCGCAGGCAGCATCGCTCCCCGCTCAGGGACCCGCCGAGACCCCCCGGCTGCGACCAGCGACCCCCCCCACCCCGCAGCCAGGAGACTCCGAGCCCGGCAGCGTCTGACGGGGCACATGCACCGCCCCAGCAGCACGAGAAGGAAAACATGCCGGTCACCAGCTGCGCACGAGCAGCCCCCGCCAGGCCCGGACCCCTCGCCGCTCCGGCTTAGGCTGCGATGCGGCGCAACGGGAAGGCACCACGCAGGTGCCAGGCAGGAGACCCACCCCCGCAGGGCAGGCGGCGGGGAGAGGGGAGGGGGGTGAGCAAGCAGCAGA